GCCGAAGTGTCGCCGAGGTGTCGCCGAGGCCTCAACGAAGTGTCGCCGAAGTGGCGCCGAGGTGTCGCCGAAGTGTCGCCGAAGTGTCGCCGAGGTGTCGCCGAGGTGTCGCGGAGGTGGCGCCGAGCGTGTCGAGACGTGGCACCAGAGATGGAGCCACAGCCACGGCACCCGTGAGAGACTGCGGCAGGCGTGAGGCGGGGCACACAACAGGCCTCTCAGAGAGAGGCTGGGACTCGAGAGGCTGCGATTCGGTTGCCGTGTCTCTCTGTCCGCGGCCGCCTGCGCCGCCGCATCTCCGAGCCCCGCGCCCGGGGTGAGGACCGGCACAGGCACGTCGCCGGCCAGCGCGCCGCCCGGCAGCGCGCTGCTAGGCGTCAGCACTGGCACCGGGACAACTTGCAGTGGGCTGCCATCTGCCGCCAGCGGTAGCGCCGGCCCAAACTCTGCTGAAGGCGCTGCTGCGGCCGGCGGCGGAGGTGTTGGCGCCGCCTCCGCCGCCAGCGCTTCCGCTGGCGCGGCGGGGGGAGTCGGCGCGTCCGCGCCGGCGGCGGCCGGCCCGCCCTCCGCCTTGCCCCGCCACCAGCTGCTGAGACTGCTCGTCCAGCTGGACTTTGCTGCGGGCGCCGCAGCGTCGATCGCGGCAGCGGCGGGTGGTGATGCGACATCGCTAATCAGGCCGGCCGCGCCGCAGGCGTCCACAGCCGGCTCCGCCGTCGCTGTCACCGCCGGCGGAGGCTCGAGCGGCGGCGGTGGCAGCGGCGGAGGCGGCGCAGGTGTCGGAGGCGGCGGCTGCCCGACAGCTGCGGCGTTGGTCGCGGCGAGACCCGATGAGCCGAGCTCCTGGACCGACGCGCGGAGAAGTGGCGGAGGCCCGACGAGGCCACTCAGGCGGCGCACGAGGGCAGAGCCTCGGCGCGCGGGCTGTCGGCAAGCGAGCATGTGCATGCGGTGTCTCGCGAAAAAAAAGAGTGCTCACGGAGCGGGACTGGCGCGCACTGGCATTACCGAAAAAGAAAAGGACGCTCCTTGCCTCGCTCATCAGCTAGGTCCCGTGTTGAATCCATGGAGATAGACGTGCCTGCGAACGTCGTTCGCGTGAGGCTCCTCCTCACCGTGTCGCGCACCGGCGTCCGCACGGGCAGTCGGCCGTCCGCTAACATCGACTGCGACGAGTGCGTCTATTGCCGAGACAAGCCGCGACTCGGCGGGCCCGGCACCAAGCGTCAAAAGTGCGTCCTCAAGCGGAGCCCGACGGCGCATGTGAGGCTCCAGGTGCACGCATACCCAACCACACACGACGGCTTCAGCGCAGCACCGCCCTAGCTAGTTTCACGAAACTGAACACCGGCTTCGAGTGTTCAGCGTCGCAGGGTTGGCATTGCGCCCATTAGGTCTACTCGGCAGCTGCGCTGCACGACGCCGACTCAGACGCAGCGCCCGCGCTGCCGGCCAAGCGGCGGCGCATTGCGAAGCGCTCGTTCGATTGCGAGGTCGCGGCAACCGTTGCGATCGGGCTCAGGCAGCAGCGCAGGTGCGCCAGCGGGCGCAGGTGCGCCAGCCCGCTGCAGGAGCTGATCGGCATGGGCTTTTCGGAGGGCGACGCCCGCAGGGCCCTCGCCGATTGCAGCGGCGTCGTGGGCGACGCTGCCGAGCGGCTGATTCGCTTACCACGGTACGTGATTCGCTTACCAGTGGCCGGCGCGAGCAGTAGCGGCGAAGTGGGCGGCGGCGAGGCGGCGCCGGCAGAGGCGGAGGGCGAGGAGCTGGCGGAGGGCAAGGGCGAGGGCGAGGGCGAGGGCGAGGACGAGGACGTGGACGAGGAGGGGCACTTCACGCTGCTGGCGTCGTCGCGACGGATGCCGCCAAGCTACGGCGCGGAGGTCGTAGGGCGGTGCTCGGAGTAGATGCGACACGTATGCAGCGATGTCGTGGCCCTCGAGTGCACGCGATGCTCTGAATACACTGCACGATGCCGCAATCACGCCGTCGGTCCACCGTCTTCATGACGTAGGCGCGTGTGGGTGGATTGGGTGAACGGCAGGAAGATGGAGACCTACCGCGGCGTCGTCGTGTCGTACGACGCGAGCACAGGCGAGCACACCATCCTTTACGAGGACAACGAGCGCGCGCCAACCCTGCTCCGCGAGCAGGAGGACGCCGGGCTCTTGACGTGGCGGGATCCCACCGCGCGGCCGGCGCCCACGCGTGCAGAGGAGGCGGAGGGGGAGGATGTGGCGGTGGTGGCGGAGGCGGAGGGCTTGCGCTTGCACCTGTCGATTGGCAGCAACACCGGCTACAAGGGCGTGCGCAAGGACAGCTGGAGCGGCCGCTTCAAAGCGGAGCAGTGGACAGGCGGGCGGTACATATCCCTCGGCAAGTTCGGCACGGCGGTGGAGGCGGCGGTGGCGTACGCGCGGGCGGTCGGGGAGGGGCCGACGGCTGCCGCTGCACCCCCTGCCAAGCGTTTTCGTCTCGCCGTCGCTGAGCCGGTGGAGAGGACTGCGAGCGGCAGCGGTTGCGGCGCGAACCGCCCAGACATGCAGATCGACGTTGATGTCGTGGATGGCTTCGAGTTTCGCTCGCAGGAGCAAGCGGCATCCGTGCAGTGCGGTGGAAGCGACAGCGGCAGCGAGGACGGCCAACGGAGGTCGGCGGTGATCCTGACGGCAAAACGGGTGACGGCAGCAGTGGTGCAAAAGGGTGCGAGCTCTGCTTGTGAGAGCGAGGGCACCGGCGCAGCGATTCTCGCCGTCACCACTGCTGCCGCTGCGCCGACGCTTGCGCTCGACCACGACGTGGCCTTCCTGGGCGATTGCGTCAGGAATTGCCTTCAGTCGCCGAGGTCAGTCGCGTGCGTTCGCGCGCGCATGCAATGCCTCTCGCAGAAGCAGCTTGCAGCGGTGCTGCATGTGTCCCAGGCGTCCCTTAGCAGCTGGCTGAAAGGTGTCCGGCAGTCGGAGGAGAAGGTGCGCCAGGTTGACGCACGGGCGGAGGTGGAGGTGGAGGCGACGGTTGGGAAAGCGCCGCCAGCAGGCTCGGAGGCCATCTCTAGCCAGGAGGCTCCGGTGGCGGAGGGATTGCGCTTGCACCTCTCGAGCAGCAGCAGCACCGGCTACAAGGGCGTGTGCTATGAGCAGCAGAGTGGCCGCTACCGAGTATTCCGGACTGAGGGGAGCAGAACCATCTGCATCGGCGTTTTCCACACGGTCATCGAGGCGGCGGTGGCCTACGCGCGGGCGGTGGGGCAGGCGGAGCCGGAGGCGGGCGAGGAGGAGGAGGAGGGCGAGGAGGGGGAAGACGGCGGTGAGGAGGAGGAGGAGGAGGAGGAGGAAGGCGAGGAGGAGGAGGAGGAGGGTGGCGCTCCAGTCTACCAGGTCGACAAGATCGTCGAGGAGCGCGTCGAGGGTGGCGGCCTCGAGTACCGCAGTGGAGACATGTCTATGGCGGCATCGGCCACCCGCTCCGCCTCGGCCCCCCGCCCCGACGAGCACGACCAGCCCCTGTTGGCGGGGGCGGAGGGGCTGAAGCTGCAGGGCGGTGAGGACGAGGACGAGGAGGACGAGGACGAGGACGAGGAGGAGGAGGGGGGGGAGGAGGAGGAGGAGGAGGAGGAGGAGGAGGCTCTGGTGGCGGAGGCGGAGGGGCTGAAGCTGCACCTCGCCGGCGGCAGCACCACCGGCTACAAGGGGGTGCGCAAGCTCACCCAGCAGGCTGGCCGCTTCGAAGCGCGTCGCTACGAGGGGAGCAGGACCATCTACATCGGCGTCTTCGACACGGCGGTGGAGGCGGCGGTGGCGTATGCGCGGGCGGTGGGACAGGCGGAGGCACAGGGTGCGACGGTTGCGGCGCAGCCTCCGTCGCAGGGTGAGGAGCAGGCGGCGGAGGGTGTGGCAGAAGGGGAGGCAACGGCGGCAGCGGCGTTGGCGGGCAAGGCGGCCGGGGCGGCGGTGGAGGACAGCGAGACGGCGACGACGGCCTCTGCACCGACCGCCTTGGTACGCAGCACTGGCCGCGCTCGCACCGCCGTGCAGCGGCTCGGAGTCGGCGACGGTTTTCTTCTCGGCAGAGCGAGCGACTGGACGGGAGGCGGTCCTTCGCAGCCGGAGGCGACCCCGTCCGCGTCCGCAGCGCCGGCTGCTGCGCCGCGAAAGCAGGCCGCGGCTTCCGACGAGGTGGAGGCGGAGGCGCCGAGCGACGACGAGGTGGAGGAGGTCGCGGCGCCGCTCCCGAGCCTCGCAGCCGCCGCCTCTTCACTCGCAGGCGGCGACGTGCAGATCTCCGCCGCATCCGGTGTGCCTCTGTCACTCGTCGGTAACCGCCACGAGACGAGACCCGCTCACCTCCTTTGCTCTGTACGCAGGTTTGCTGCCTGAGCAATTGCCGCACCAGCGGGCGCTCTGCCCGCTCCACCCCTTCCATGCCACTGCGCGGCCTCACGCGGCGCCAGTCGAGGGCAACGAGGCTGCCTGCCCCAACTGCTACTGCCTTGTTTGCGACGTACGCGTGTCTGAGTGCCGCCACTGGCGGGGCGGCGACCCAGCGCATTGCAACGCGCATGGCGACAGCGCAGAGTGGCACCAGAAGCGTGTCAACGCCAAGCGGCAGCGCACGCGGGCAGCGAAAGGCGCGGATCGCGCGCAGGCGGCGCGGCTCCCGTGTGGCACGCCGGGCTGCTCCCGCGGGGCGTACCACGCTGGCCTCTGCTCGATCGAGAGGGCGGGCGGGCGCCTGCGCTCTTCCGATTGCGGCCGTACACGCGAGGAGGAGGCGGAAGAGGAGGAGGAGGAGGACGAGGAGGAGGAGGAGGAGGACGAGGAGGAGGAGGACGAGGAGGAAGAGGAGGACGAGGACGAAGAGGAGGAGGAGGGCGAGGAGGACGAGGACGAGGAGGAGGAGGAGGAGGAGGAGGAGGAGGAGGCTCTGGTGGCGGAGGCGGAGGGGCTGAAGCTGCACCTCGCCGGCGGCAGCACCACCGGCTACAAGGGGGTGCGCAAGCTCACCCAGCAGGCTGGCCGCTTCGAAGCGCGTCGCTACGAGGGGAGCCGGACCATCTACATCGGCGTCTTCGACACGGCGGTGGAGGCGGCGGTGGCGTATGCGCGGGCGATCGGCGAGTACCAGCCTCCGACAGTGTCTGCGGAGGCGGAGGGCTTTCGCTTGCAACTCTGCAGCAACGGCACTGGCTACAAGGGGGTGTGCAAGCAGCCCTCTGGCCGCTTCAAGGCGCACCCCAAGGTGGGCGACAGGAAGGTCTACCTCGGCACCTTCGACACGGCGTTGGAGGCGGCGGTGGCCTGCGCGCGGGCTGTGGGGGGGAGGCGGACGTAGGAGACGCGCGCAGGCGCGCTTCAGCTTATCTGCTGCCACTCTTCGGACCGGGCCTGCTCGCGGCCGCGTCCCACTTACGGTTATCAAAATTGAATATTTGTCGAGGCGAGAGTACAAGTTTGCCCGATATTTCTCATCCTACGACTCCTTCCACCTCCATTTTATAGAGTACTTCACCTCCTCACGCTACGGCTTTCACGAGAGACGCCCACGCGCACTCGACCGTGGGCCAGCCACGCTGGGCATACGGTTTGGCGGTGCATCCGTGGGGCAGTTCGAGAAGGCCGCGTCTTCGGGCGGCGTACGCATGACACCATTCTCCATTCGTCTTGTCGTGCTGACAAAGGCTACACCAATAATAGAATTTAAACAAAAGAACTCTCTCTCACAGCACACAGGCTCGACACAGGTGCGAACTGGCGCGTGCTAGTACTATCACCGGCACACCACCGGAGCCGCCTAAGCGACTCCGTTAAGAACGGCAATGCACTTAGCACCGTGCACAATAATAGAAGGCTGCAAAGCGCATCGGCAGATTCTTGTAAGTGCCCCATTGGCCGTTGTTCTTCTGCTGCGGCAGCTTGCCCAGCTGCACCTTTCGGATCAGCGCCGCAAGCTTGATGAGCTGGGCACCGAGAGAGACGAGGACTCGAGGAACGCGCGGCCCGGGCGCGAGTGTCGCGCGAGACCGGCGGCGGCGAGAGTGGCTCGCGCGCGGCGCGGCCTGGCTGAGCGTCTTTTGTGAGTTTGTAGGTCTGTGAGTCTGTGTCGCTCACAGCGTGCCGTCATCTTCTATCCCGCGTCCACCCATACATACACACTTACACTTATCAGTTATCGACTCGTTTTCGGCTCGATGCTTATACCCGACCAGTTACCACTCTCCACGAGTCACAGACGCTCTTGCCCAATCCGCCTAGGGTGGGGCGTCTGTGAACAGCTCTCTCAGGGCAGTTCTCTCAAAGTAGTGGCTTATAACCTGTAGCAACTCCTTACAGTTACACACCTAGGGTGCACAATACCAGCACAGCCCTGCTCGCAATGCTTCGTTAATTACCTCATCCACATTGAACAATGTGGGGCCATTCATGATGGAGGTATGTATATCCCGATCGCACTGTCGGCACCGCCTGCCTCCTCCTGCCTCCTCTGCCTGTTCCCAGCGGATCCACGTCTCGTCGTCCGAGCTGTATGTCCGAGATCGGTCGACAGCCTGCTGGCGAGCGCGCGCCTCCTCCGCCTCCCTCCGAGAGCGGTCGACAGCCTCCTGCCGAGCGCGCGCCTCCGCCTCCCTCCGAGAGCGGTCGACAGCCTCCTGCCGAGCGCGCGCCTCCGCCTCCCTCCGAGAGCGGTCGACAGCCTCCTGCCGAGCGCGCTTGGCGGAGAGAGTGTTGTGCGCCTCGTTCAGCTTCTGAAACGCCTGCTGCGCCCCCGCCGCGAGGTTCTTGTCCGGGTGGATCTTGAGCGCCCGCTGCTGGTACGCGCGCTTGATGGCCGGCGCGTCGGCGTCCGGCGCCACGTCTAGCACGGCGTAGTGATCAGCGGCCTGCAGGACCCGGTCGATCGCCTTGGCCGCCTCGGAGCCCGGACCAAACTTGACCAGAAAGTCGAGGAACGCCTGCGCCTCGTCCGTCTTGCAGATCCGCAGGCTCTTCTCCGCGAGGCGGACAGCGCTCGCGTGGTCGCCCGCGTCCTTCTTCGCGCGGGCCTTGGTGAGCGCGTCGATCGCGGTCTCGCGGTTGGCCAGGAGAGACGCGAGCCTTGCGCGCTCCTCCGCCTCCCTCCGAGAGCGATCGACAGCCTCGCGGCGCACGCGCTCCTTCTCATCTGCTGCTGCTGCTGCAGCCGCCGCTGCCTCCCATCGCGAGCGCTCTTCCGCCTCGCGCGCACCTGGGCCACCCGACGCCAGCCCCTGCTCCAGCAACGCCGCCGCCGGCCGCCGCCCCGGGCTCTCCTGGAGACAGCCCTCGACCCACGAACCGAGCCACTCGCTCGCGGACTTGCCCTCGGCGATCGCGCGCTGCCACTTTGCCGCGTCGAGCGCCACGTTGCCGATCGTGCGGCCGAGCATCAGCTCCGCGAGGATACACCCGGCCGCCCAAACGTCGTCCGCCGGCCCGTACCGCTTGCCACGGGCCTTTTCGGGCGACATGTAGGCGTCGGTGCCCACCTTGGTCTGGGTGCGCGAGCGGCGCGAGGCGGAAGAGACGCACGCGAGCCCAAAGTCGATTATCTTAGCGCGGCCCGCCATGTCGAGCATCACGTTGGCCGGCTTGAGGTCGCGGTGCTGCAGGTTGAGCGAGTGCATGTACGCGAGGCCTGAGGCGACCTGCTGCACCCACGTGGCCGCTGCGCTCGGCGGCTGCGGTGACGTGGCAATCTTCGCCTCCAGCGAGCCCCCCGAAAGCAGCTCCATGACGATCACAAACTGCACCGTGTCTTCCTCGTCCTCGTCACGCGCCTTGACCGTGTGCCAGAAGGAGTCGAAGTAGCGGACCGTGTGTGGGTGGTCGAGCTTTGCCAGCAGCCGTGCCTCCTTCTCCAGCTCCGACGGTGAAAGCTTCGAGTTCTTATCCTCGATGAACTTCACTGCGTACCGCCGCTCGTCGATGCCATCCTTCTTGCGCATGCGATAGGTGCTTCCGAAGGTTCCGCCGCCAAGCCGCGCAGCGGCCTTGCGCTTCTGGCCGGGAGGCGCGTCGTATGCGTAGGCCATCAGTCTTGAGCTGTGGCCCGGCACCGCGGCGGCACTGCCCGACGCGAGCTTCATCTCTGCGATCTCCAGCTTGATGGAGTGCGTCATCTCCGCGATCATGTCCATCTTGAGGCCCATTGACGCAACCCCCTCACGCACCTCAGGGCCAAGCTCGCGAAGCTCGCTATGGAACTCGGCGTCCGACACGCCCGAGGCGACGATGATGCCGCGTACAACCTCGGAGTCTTTCTCGAGCGCATCCGCGTCGACAGCCTCGCCCTGCGCCTTCCGCTCGGCCACCTGCCGCTCCACCTCCGCCTCCACAGCGTACTCGCGCGCCTTAAGCCGGTCGATGATGTCCGCGTCACGAGCGAGGCTGTATAACTTGAGCAGGAAGTCGAGCTGGTCGGTGATATCCGAATCGAGCTGCGAGAGCGTGGTGCGCCTGCCAACGTTGAGCACGTGTCGCAGCCAGCCCTGCTTGCCCAAGGCATCAACAGCCGAGCGCACGCCCTCGAGCAGCCGCTGCAACTCGCGCATCCGGTCCTCGACGCGAGCGCGGCTCGACACGTACATGCATTCCACGTTTTCAGCCATAAGCTGCAGCAGCTCGAGGACGTCGATCGTGCGCTGCGCAATCGATAGCGCATCCTCGATCACAGTTTGCGACGCTTGCACAACTTCAAGGACGCCTCGAGCCGCGCTGCAAACGGCCGGCAGGAGTGGTAACCCAGAGTTTTCGCCGAGCTTGAGTAGTGAGTCGGCAATCTTCAGACCCGTCTCCACCTTGTCGAGCGCCCGCTCCGCCGAAAGTCGCTCGGCCATACAGCGAAAAGCTAAAGCAGAGCGCTGAGCCGCGTTTGAGCGCAATCGTGTCACGGCTTTTCTTTTTTGAGGGGAGTCCGCCTCCGCGATCTCCGGCCCCTCCCCCCCTCCTCCAACGGGTCGACCCGCCCGCCGCTTCTCCTACCGTAGTGTGCCATCGCCCTCACCATCTTTTTCTGCCAACATGGTACGGGACATCTCGATCGTCTCGCCCTCCACAACCTTCATGAAAACTCTGCGAAAGGTTCGGCTCTAGCCGGGGAGGGGAGCATGGCGCACAGTAATCTATCTATCTCTCTGCGCTTCTCTGATTTCGTTCGAGCGGGGAGCGGCTCACAAACGCCGCGCTGCGATCTCGTGCCGTTGCCATTGGCGCCAGCCCCTCCCAGGCGTTCGTAGCCGGGTTGTACCGCTCCATCGTGTTGACTAACTGGCTCTCGTCCTCCTCGTTGTACTCCTTCTCGCCGCCCACAGCGTACAGCTTACCATCGAGCACCGCCGCACCGAGATCTGCCCGCGCCGTCCCCATCGGCGCCACCGCCTCCCAAGCATTTGCAGCCAGGTCGTACCGCTCGACAGAGGAGAGGTAGTCGTAATTGCTCTCTCCGCCCACAGCGTACAGATTGCCGTCGAGCACGGCCACGGCGAGAAGTACCCGCGCCGTCCCCATTGGCGCCACCGCCTCCCACGCATTCGTCGCCGGGTCGTACCGCTCGACCGAGCTGAGGTGGCCGCCATTCTCACGGTTGAAGCCACCCACAGCGTACAGCTTGCCGTCGAGAACTGCCACACCGAGACTAATCCGCGCCGCAACCATCGGCGCCACCGCCTCCCACACATTCAGCGCCGGGTCGTACCGCTCCACCGAGCTGTGGTGTACGAAACCATCGTTGTCGTACCCGCCCACGGCGTACAGCTTGCCAGTACCGCTCCACCATGTTGGAAGCTGCGCCGTCGGCATCACTCTGGCCGCCCACCGCGTAGAGCTTGCCTTCGAGCACCTCCGTACCGACCTCCCTTCGTGCCGTTGGCATCGGCGCCACAGCTTCCTCCTCCTCCCACACGTTCGCCGCGGCGTCATACCGCTCCAAAGAGCTGATGAACTCGTTTTCGGGCTCACTGCAGCCGCCGATCACGAGCAGGCGCGGCCGCTTGCGCTTCACCAGCGTCTCCTTCCAGCCGCGGCGCCACGCGCGGCACGTCCCCTTGACGGAGAAGGATCGAAGGTCGCCCGCTGCGGCGGCGCCGGCTCCGAGGGAGGAGGAGCCGCCGGACGACTTCATTTGCCCGATCACGACCGAGGTGATGATCGACCCGGTGATGGCGGCCGAGGGCATGCGTACGAGCGGACGGCGATCGAGCGCTGGCTCGCGACAAAGTCGACGAGCCCGATGACGGGCGAGGCGCTCGAGCACACCTTCCTCTCCCCCTGCCACATGGTGCGCCGGCAGATTCGATCGAGAGTGGCAGCAGGCGCATCCGGGGCAGGAGGGATGAGCACAGTGAGCATCCCTTCTCGGCTCTAGCCGTTGCCCTTCTTGTGCCATCCCGCGTACTAGTGCCCATGGCGGAAGAGCATGGGAGAGGACAAGGTCACGCAGAATTTGCGAGGTCTTACTTGTCGCGAAAAAAAGAAAACCTGCAAAACAGCTGAATTCGGAGTGCCTTGTGCATGCAGAAGAGCCGCCATCGTATGTCCACGCCCTCGCGACGGCCTCTCGTCGTCTTCATCTTCTATTTTGGCGAGCTGCCGGTCTGGCTGCCGCTTACCCTTCAATCGATGCACGTCAATCCTCGCGTCGACTTTGTCGTCGTTGGCGATGCGGCTCCGCCGGCGGTGCTGCCGCCGAACGTGCGCTTCGAGCAAGTAAGCTTTTCGGCGATACAGACACGGCTTTCGGTGCTCGTGGGCGACGGCAGCAGTGTCCGATACAACGACACATTCGCCGGGCACTACAGCAAAGGCAACGACATGAAGCCGCTCGCCGCCGAGCTCTACCCACAGCACACGGCGGGCCATGAGTGGTGGGCTTGGTCCGACCTCGACGTTGTCTTTGGCGATCTGCTCTCGTGGATGGATCGCGCGACGCGGAACGAGCACGCAGCGTGCTGCCGCTGCATCCCGCGACAGTCGGACGGCGGGCGTGGCGCGGCCAACTTCCGGGAGCAGTGCGCAGTCCGTAACGCGACGGGGCAGGTGGGCGGTTGTTGCAATATGCCACTGCGCCGGAACGCAAAGACGGGCGAGATGGAGGTGGCCAACGTCAACCTGGTCAATGTGTACTTGCACAAGAAGTACTGCCCGTGCGACCACGGCGAGCGCGTGAATGTCGTCTGCCCGCTCTACCCCAACCCGTGGCGCAAAAAGGCGTGGGGCCCGTTCACAGCCTTCCGTGTGGAGGGCGGAGGAGCGTCGCTGTTCCGCCGCTCGCCGCAGTGGCGCGCGGTCGTCGCGTCCGGCGACTACGCGCACTTCGACGAGTGGTGGGGCGAGTACCACTACTCGCGCGGCTGGGAGACGATGGGCGACGTGCTGACGCGGCTCGCGGAGGTCACGGGCGGCGTGGTGATGAGCAAGATGAAGATGAGGTTTGCAGAGGCGAAGACGTGCACAGACTACGCCTCTGGCTGCTCCTTCTGCCCCTGCGGCGCGATGCGGCTCCGGCTGACTGGCTCGACGCTCGTCGTCAACGAGCGGGAGGTGATGCTGCTGCACCTGGCCCAGTCCAAGGCTGCTTGGAGCGAGTCGCGCGTCTCGCTGCCCCAATGGGAGCCGCCAGAGAGAGGCACCGCTGCGGCGAGGAGCTGGGCGCGCGGCTGCTTTGAGGTGCTCAACCTCGGCCGCCTCAACGCCACCTGCGCCGCCTGCTCCGGAGCGGCTCCAGCATTCACGGCGTGGGACACGCCGGGTGCGGTGGAGAAGGCGACCCGGCTCGGCCGACATCGCGTGCAGACGAAGTGGCGTGGCCACATCGTGTACTCGAGCAGTGCCGCAGACTCAATGCAGCTGCAGGCGCGCTCGTGCGACTCCCAAGGGGGGGGGGGATGAACGGTGCGAACGGATACGGGCGAGTTGTGTCAGGCTAATTCACGCCCCACTCGCGGTTCTAAACTAACCGGCCGCATTTTTTTTATTTTATGAATCTTCCTGACGACGCGACATCCAGCAGCCTCGTATCTACGCCTCTCCGCCCTGCTAAACCATGGCGTTCTGGGGCCTTGAGATCGCCTGCCCGGCAAGCCGATGCCGCTCAACCTGTGACACGACGCCTCGTCGTCAAGCAAGCCGCGCTCGTCGTTTCCAAGCCCGCCAAGAAGACCGAGCCGTGCGTACTCTCGGTCTGCTGCCACCACCGCCCGCTCCGGAGCAAAGCCTCGAACCGGAGCACGAGCAGCGCGTCGCGCGCGAACGCGCGCGCGCGGCGCGCGCGCGCGGCGCGCGCCGCCACACGTCGAGGTTAGGTTAGGTAGAAAGGTGAAGAACAGCCAGGCTCGGACTGGACACCAACGCGGTATGGGTGGACGCTAGACACATGATGACGACACGCACGAGCGACACACAGACACAAACAGGCTCACAAGACACAAAGCCAGCTGGCTGCCACACACCCTGAGTTGGCGTACACATCACTCAGGCCACGTCCCCCCTGTCGCCCCCCCCAGCACTCCACCGTGCCAAAGGAACAAACAAGGGCACAACAAACACAGACGACAGGGAGTAACGTGTGAGACTAGAGCAGGCTCCGCCTCTAGCAATCTCGCCGCCCGGCGAGGCACGGACGAGACCGTGTGTGGGGTCATGTGAGGTGTCTATGGACGCCCTCCTCAGAGGCTAGCTGCCTACTGCTAGCCCTATCTCGCACTCACGGGCAGTGACAATTCAATGGGTGAGTGTTTGCGAGCAGAGGCGCGTGGGCTAAATCTAGGCCGCACGTCGTGGCACTATGACGAAGTTAGACGTGCGGCCGCAGCGCGCCCGCCGCAGGCTCGGCGGTGCGCGCGTGTTAGCGAGAAAGTTGCGGGTAGAGCCATGCCCGACTTTTCGAAGGTGAGGCCTCTGTCTGCCGTCTAGGGTACCATACTTGACCCACCCTTTGCGCCTCGTCTTTTCCTACCAAACGAGCGCGATCTGGGGGCGGGTTACAGCGTCTGGGGGCGGGCTACATGCGCTCGCGGGGCTGCCCGACGCGGCTGGCCTCGTGCCGATGGACCCAGCCGAGGTGCGTGGCCACCCAGTCCGCTGGCCACCCAGTCCTAGTCACCCGCGGCCGGACTCCATCCGGCACGCGTCGCTGGGCGCTCAGAGCCGCGTCCCCTGCTCGCCACCCCGACGCCCAAGGCGCCCGAATCGAACGACAGGCGGCACGCGAAGACTGGTTGCAATCCCGCCGACCGCGAACCCTTTGGGCCGCGCTACCATACCACACCCCGCAAAAAGTTGGAACCCTAGCGAATCCCCGAGCTGATATGGCCTCCCACCGCATCGGCGCCCGCGTCGCGGGCCTCTCGCCAGCGCAGCTGTGCGCCATCATCGAGGCGCAGGCGGGCGCGAGCGCCGCCGCGCTGCGCGTGGCGGAGGAGCACGCCGCTCGGCTCGTGGAGCAGCCCGAGTGGATCCTCTCCGAGATCCTCCTCTCGCCGGACCTCGCCCCGCACATCCTCGCCCAGCTGCCGATCAAGGCGCACGCCGTCAAGGGGACGTGCCGCGCGTGGCGCCGCGGCTGGAAGGAGACGCTGAAGAAGCGCGAGAGGCCGCGCCTGCTCGTGATCGGTGGCCAAGACAACACTGGCGAGTTTGTCAACTCGCTGGAGCGGTACGACCCGTCCACAAACGAGTGGGAGGGGGAGGCTGTGGCGCCGATGCCGACGGCACGAAGGTATGGCGGCATGGCGGTGCTCGACGGTAAGCTGTACGCTGTGGGCGGCACCAACCCCAACGACGGCTTGCTCAGCTCAGTCGAGCGGTACGACCTGGCGGAGAATGCGTGGGAGGCGGTGGCGCCGATCCCTACGGCTCGGGAGGATCTCGCTGTCGCGGATCTCGATGGTACGCTGTATGCTGTTGGAGGGTCTGTCGGCGGCGCCCTCAGTTCAGTCGAGCGGTACGACCCAGCGTTGGATGCGTGGGAGGAGGTAGCGCCGATGACGACAGCGCGGGAGTCTCACTCCGTGGCGGTGCTCGACGGCAAGCTGTATGCGGTGGGCGGCTTGAACGACGTCGGCGACAGCTTCCTCAGCTCGGTCGAGCGGTACGACCCGGCGACGAGCGCGTGGGAGGCGGTGGCGCCGACGGGGACGACTCGCTTCGAGGCAAGGGTGGCGGTGCTCGACGGCAAGCTGTACGCTGTTGGCGGGTACAACGACGGCGACGGCTACCTCAACTCGGTGGAGCGGTACGATCCCGCGACGAACACTTGGGAGGCTGTGGCGCCGATGGCGGCGGCGCGGCAGTCTCACCCCCTCGCGGTGCTCGACGGCAAGCTGTACGCTGTGGGAGGCTACGCCAACGGCGTCATCAGCTCAGTCGAGCGGTACGACCCGGCCGAGAATGTGTGGGAGGCGGTGGCGCCGATGGCGACGGCACGAATCTCTTCTGTCGCAGTCTCTTGATGTAGTGGGCTTAGGCGCAGATGCGGCGGCTCTGTCCACAGGTCTTTGAGCGCTCCCAGCGTACAGGTCTTTGAGCGCTCCCAGCGTATGGCTCTGTATATCGCCTATATGCCGAGGCGGATCGGACTCCGGAGAGCGGCACGTCGTGTGCTCTTTCTCAAACGTATTTCGGCATTCACGATTTCAGGCGGTTCTATCTTGGTGTCCCGGATATAAATTCGGCCCGCGGAGCTAACTTGAAAATTCGGCCCGCGGAGAGCCCGTTGTCGCCGAAGATTTTGTCGGACTAAAGGTAAAGCCGTAGCGCGTAGGTCCAGCCCAGGGTGAGGCAGATCTGACGTTCTGTGACATCCGAGGCCCGTCACATCGGTGTTTTTCTTGTCTTGCGGTACATCTCTCCGCTCGCCACCTCACGCTCCGCCGTCCGGCCATGGCTAGTTCCATTTCACTCTGACACGCTAATCTTGAAAACGTCCAACGGAGCTCCGTGTTGCTCCCAGCGCCCTCCCCCGCGCTTCCTGCGGCCATGGCCGATGATACTAGTATGAGAGGTCATCTGGCTACCGCGAGCGCGACTCAACTCGCCGACGTCGTCCGATGATTGTGCCTCAAAGTCAGCCTCCGGAGGCTATCGTGGGGTCGAGCCGGCAGTAGCCGTGACATGTGGTTCCACCACCCCTCGTATGCTTCGCCTCTGACCGCCACCGTTCCCAGGCTGCCAAATGGGATGGAAAGGAAGGCTCGGCGAGCGTATAGAAGCGTGCTCGACCTCGTCGTGGCAACCTGCACGGCAGCGCTGGTAGGCGCGATGAGCGTCGTGCCACCTGACCCGAGACGGGTCGCAGGCGTCGTACCGAGCGCGTCGAGACCGTGTCCTGATGTGATCTGCACGGGTGAGTCACGTCGGCGTCAAAGGAGCGACGTGCGACCTGTCAGAGCTTGATCTCCGATCTCAGCGGCGTCGAGTCGTCTCCGCGCGCGACAAAGGTACATCCCCAGG